GGTGCGCGCGGCGCACGTCCGCGGGAGCAGGCCCGGAGCGTTGCGGTGCACAAGCCCCAGCGTCCTTCCCTTCAGCTGGACGTTAAACAGCCATGTAAACAAACGCGCCACACAAGCGGTAGCTCCTCAGATATAAACCTTGCAGCAACCCCTCCCCTGCTTTTCATCTATTGACATTGGCTGGTGTGTAGCTGCTGGAACAATGTGTACAGTGGGGGTGTTGATAGCTATTGTATTGAACAAAACTCTAAACCCGCTATATGATGGAAACTACTTCAAATCAGGAGGTCCTGCTTCACCCCGAGCACCTCTAATTCCAGCATCTATGGGCTGGTGTATTTGCAACAGCAGACTTGGTTTACCTTAGCCTATCTGCAAGCGTTTTGCTCTGAGTCTGAAGTAAAAGGTATGAAAGAAAAATCATTCACGCAGTTGTTTTCCTATTTTAGTGACAAGCTATATTTTTGAAGTTATAATCAATAGTATAATAGGATGAGAGCCACCACTGTAGAAAGCTACCCACAGTCTGCATTTTCCTTTTTGTATAATATCACATACAGATGATTAAATATTATGACATACTATACTTTAGATAAGAGAAGAAAGCTCAGATGCAGCATATTGGAGTTGCAGCTAGCAAGGGATGTGAAGGGTAACAAGAAGGATTTCTATGGGTATGTTAGCAACAAGAAGGTGGTCAGAGAAAAATAGGGGAGGCAACCTAGTGACAGATGATGTAGAAAAAGTTGAAGTACTCAATGCTTTTTTTGCTTCCATCTTCACAGACAAGGTCAGCTCCCAGACTGAGCTGCCCTCAGTGGTGAAAGAACAGGTTAAGGACTCGGGGAAATTCAGGGGGGTGTAGGGAAATCCCTAACACCACTCCCCCAGTTTTGTGAAGTAGTTACATGCAGTGTTGCCAATTTAGTGATTGTTTGGACATTTAAATTGAAACATTAATGCACACTTTAAAAGCATATAAAGTGTATGATAAAATACATGTATCTGAAAAAGTATATTAGATTTGAAAAGTATGAACATATACTAGTTTCCTTATACAGGTTTTGTTTTTATGACAATGTCACTGCATTCATTTTGGTGATGTTGGCCAACCTAATAATTTCAGATTATGATTTGTAAGCAAAGTCTAAATGAGCTCTCCCTGACAGCTAGTGATGAGCTGGGGGCTGGGAGGAAAGGCTTCAGGACCAGAGTGTATTTACATTCACACCTAATCTACCTAGATATCCAGCAAACAGAACTGTGTTGCCCAAATGATAGATTTTGGCTGGGGTTGGGTTACAAATCACTTGAATGAGGAGGAATGAAATGTTGTTGTTCTTATTGTATGAGTAAAGGGCAGTAGAACTGTACTTCACCTGTGCTGATTAAGGGCATCAAGAGAGGGTGGGGGCAGGTGTTTTGCTTGATGGTCTGCTTGAGTCTCAAGTACTATTTGACTTGCCCCTCTCCACTCTTTAAAGACAGAGCTGATTAGGCTCCATAGATAGTCTTTTGTTAGTGACCACTACCGCTGAAATCACTGATAATCAAGTTTCAGGCCTTGGCTACACTTGTGAGTTACAGCGCTGTAAAGCCTCCCCCAGCACTGTAACTCACTCCCCATCCACACTGGCAGGGTACTTACAGTGCTGTATCTCCCTGGGTACACCGCTGCAGGTACTCCACCTCCCCGAGAAGCATAAGAGATACAGCGGAGTGGCTATGACTCTCCCCTGTGAGTGTGTACCAGGAATCAACCTGCAGCGCTGTACTGATCACCTTGTCAAGTGGCCAATCCTGTCCATTGTTATGACCGGCTGCAGAAATGCGGAAGTGCCGGTTTCAAAGATCGTACCACAGAGAAAAAGCAAACAGTTTTGAAAAGCACGTTGCACCCACATGAATGCTGGGATAGCTGCCCATAATGCACCGCTCCCAACACAGCTGCAAATGTTGCAAGTGTGGCCATGCCACTGCGCTGTCAGTGTGGACAGACTGCAGCGCTTTCCCTACTCAGCTGTATGAAGACAGGTTTACCTCACAGTGCTGTACAGCTGCAAGTGTAGCCAAGGCCTAAGTGCTTGGGCCTGCTGGGGGACAGTGTTTCTGTGGAAGAGACAGCCTAGTCTGCAGTAGCAGGGAGGTTCCCCCACTGAGAGCTCAGCTGAAATCACTGAGAGCTGGGTGGAACCTCAAGAGACCAACTCACAGAGGTCACACAGTGGCAGGTGGGAGCAGAAGATGATGGCGCAGGGCCATTGGCAACAGAGCAATGGAGTGAACAGTGGCACAATGAACAACAGTGGCCAGAGTGAAAGGTGAGTAGCTGGAGGTAACGAGCAAGGTGCCTTCTTGCCCCCCCATCTGGGAGGTGAACTCATGTGAAAGCATCTCTGAACTCTGAGTCTCCACTGACCAAGGACAATACCAGTGAGTGTTAACGAGGCTGTTAAGAATGCTGGAGACAACACAGTTCACGTGAACAAACATGGCTGTGGCATCATATTTAAGCAAGCACTTCCTATTTAAGCAAGAGATAACATTGGCCTTCAGTTTGTAGTGTGTGGTAAGTGCATTGTTGTCACCTGTTCATCCTGAAGTTGAACACTGGTTCCAAACAAGACCAGCAAATGCTCACTATCTTTCTGCAAGAAACTCAGCTGACTAGGTAGAAGCACGTGGTGCAACAGTGGAAGTCTCAACAGTTGAAAAAGTGAAGAACTCTCTCACCATATTCAAAAAAATTGCATACATGGCTGATGAATGCACCAATGCAAATGGGTGCAAGTATTAAGTCATTGGATATGTTATCATGATGTCAGTGGCAGGCCAGTAGATGCATTTCTAGATGTTCAAGTTATAGAAGATACCTTGGCTGCATCTGTGACAACCCACATCTTAGAGTTAAATGCTTGTCAACTGGACCCCAAAACATGGCTGCTTGTGCATTTGATGGAGCTGCAAACTTCTCTGGAAGACATGGTGGAGTACAAGCTTTGCTCAGAGAAAAGTGTAACCATAATCTCTCCTATACACACTGCAGAGGCCATCTACTCCACCTACCGCTAGTACAAGCTGCAGACTCTTTAAATTTATAGCTTTTTTTAATATTCTTTTTTCAGCAAGAGTCCAAAAAGACTGAATATCTTGGAAAATGTAGAAGATGCACTAATTTGAACTTCAGACCCAGTGTAACTTGGGAAACCCTCTGCCTTTCTCATGAGCGATCCTTGGCTGTTATCTTAAAATTACTCCAGCCGTTATTAACTGACTTTGGAAAGTATCTAGCAAGATGGGATGGATCTAAGTAGTGAGGCTGGTGGATTACGTTTGCTACTACATTCAGAGAAGACTATTGCCATTCTCTCTCTTGCAAGTCTACTGTTGAAACCACTTGGGTCATAAAACAATGCCATCCAGGCATCTGCTACCACAGTAGTAGATCTTTGTCCAGCAATAGAAGCTACATGGATCAGAGAGCTATTCATTGAAAAATTACTGGAAGAAGCAAAGACTTCAGTCTAGAAGTTGACTAATGAAGGCATTTATATTGAATCCTTAAATGTAGAGGACAAGAAGTGTTTGTTAAGACAACTGAAAGTACACAGACTTGATTCTTAAAAATCGACAACAGTGACTTCTAGATTCTACTCAACCTCTACGTAGCTTTTACAGATCCCTGTTCTATAAAACACCGACAGTTGAGTGGAGTTAGGCACTACCAGCAATGGGGCTGCCACATTCTCAGGACAGAATAGAGAATTTGAACACAGACTGGAATATCATATGACGAATGAATGAAAATTTGACTTCAACTTCTTTTTTATCATCACTAGTGGCTTGACCCAATCTTTGCTATGTTTCCTGGGATGAAAGAAGTAGGAATTCATCTCTTGCTACTCCCAGTCACAACAGCTACAGTTAAGTGTTCTTTTTCCATCATTGAATAGAATTTTGTGTTCTGAAAGAAGTCACCTTCTGCCTGATCATGTGAATGAACTAATGAGCATATCAACTGAAGGAATGGGAGTACCGGACACACGAGAAGCCACCGAAGATGAACAGATTGCATTCAAGAAGTTCATTAACAGAGTTGTGCAAAATTATAACAAGAAACCAAGAAGGATGTAGACGTAGTGCTTCATAGAAGGCTTAAGTAGCCAACTTTAATTTGTGGGATGATTTTAAAACATGAGTTAAATCTAGTAAAAATGGAAAATGTTTCATGACCATTTTATTATGGTGCCATACAGCCCCCCTTTCACCCTCACGGTCTTACCCCCCCATCAGCCCTGACACACAAACACACCCCCATTTCAATTCCCCAGGGAAAAAGATGGACATGCACAAGTCCATGGGTCTGGATCTAATGCATCCGAGGGTGCTGAGGGAGTTGGCTGATGTGATTGCAGAATCATTGGCCATTATCTTTGAAAACTTGTGGTGATTGGTGGAGGTGCCGACGATTGGAAAAAGGCAAGTATAGTGCCCATCTTTTAAAAAGGGAAGAAGGAGAATCCCGGGAACTATAGAGCGGTCAGCCTCACCTCAGTCCCTCGAAAAATCATGGAGCGGGTCCTCAAGGAATCCATTTTGAAGCACTTGTAGGAGAGGAAGGTGATCAGAACAGTCAACGTGGATTCACCAAGGACAATCTGACCAGTCATGCCAGACCAACCTGATTGCCTTCGATGATGAGATAACTGATGCTGTGAGTGATGGGTTCAGTCATAGAGACCCCCTTGGGACTGTCCCCTGATGTGCTGGAATTACCTCTGAGCCTGTTTTCCTTGCCAGCTTGGGACTCCAGAACCCTGCCTTGTTGAGCCAGACATGCTAGCCTGCTGCAACACAGAACCAGGTCCGGTTAACACCCCAAAAACTGCAGACTTTAACCAAAAACTGCTTTGGAGGTTACCTGACTCCAGCACGCAGACACCCAGTTTCCAATGGGATCCAAACCCCCAAATACACCCATTTTACCCTGTATAAACTTTACAGAGTAAAGTCATAAATTGTCCACCGTGTATAAAACTGATAGAGATTTGCACAGCTGTTTGCTCCTCCAGGTATTAATCACTTACTGTGGGCTAATAAACAAAAATGATTTTATTAAGTATAAAAAGTAGGATTTAAGTGGTTTCAAATAATAACAGACAGAACAAAGTAGGTTACCAAGAAAAATAGAACAACACACACAAGCCTAAGCCTAATACATTAAGAAACTGTTTACAGGTAAATCTCACTCTCAGAGATGTTCCAGTAGCTTCTTACACAGACTAGACTCCTTCCTAGTCTGGGCCCAATCCTTTCCCCGGTACAGTCCTTGTTAGTTCCAACAGGCATCTTAAGTTAAAAGCAGGGGCTTTCTTATGACTAGGACCCTCTTTGTTACGTTCCACC